CTTCCTCAAACGCTGAAACAACTTCAACAAATCTTCCACATGCCCTTCTTCAGTATGGGATTTAGCAATCATATCATCAACATATACCTCAATTTCCTTATGCATCAGATCATGGAATAAGGTTTTCATAGCCCTCTGGTACGTTGCACCAGCGTTCTTCAACCCGAAAGGCATCACTCTGTAACAAAATGTTCCCCAAGGTGTGATAAACGTTGTGTTTTTCCATGTCCTTTTGAGCCATTCTTATTTGATTATACCCGGAAAATTCGTCCATGAACGAGAACACTTTGAATTTTGTTGTGCTATCCACTAACATATCAATATGCGGCAATGGAAAATCATCTTCGGACTAGCTTTATTTAGATCTCTGTAATCTACGCACATGCGGACTTTTCCGTCTTTTTTCGGTACTGGGACAATATTGGAAATCCATTGAGGTTACAGTGATGTCACAAGAAAATCGGCATTAATCTGCTTTAGAACTTCCTCTTTGATCTTTACTGCCATATCTGGGTGAGTCCTTCTCAACTTCTGTTTGATTGGCGAACACTCTGGCTTTAATGGCAAACGGTGCTCTACAATATCTGTATCTAGACCAGGCATATCTTGATAAGACCAAGCAAAAATATCCACATACTCTTTCAAAAACCCAATTAACCTGCTTTTCACATCAGGATGCAGCAACGCTCCGATCTTGACTTCCTTTGGATCTTCTTCTGAACCAAAATTGATTACTTCCAATGGCTCTTTATATGGCTTAATGGCATTTTCCTCGCACTCAAGCAACTGTGAGACCTCTTCTAGAATCTCATCATAGTCTTCTTCTTTGGCCCCATACACAGGACATTCAAAGTTGGGAGAGGGTGCAGGGTCATTGTATTCAACGGGTTTTTTAATTAATTTGCACATATGATTTATGATTGCATTTAGAAACTGACACATATAACAAGTGATCATGCAAATTGAATTTCAGTTATTATTTATTTTGAAAGGTTTTTTATTTTATTACCATTTTCCAAGAAAAAGAAGAAAATAAAGACACAATTTGGGAAACAAAGACAACTTTTATTATTGATTTTAAAAGTCACAGCAAACAGATAAGCCCATACAACATTAATACTTCCACCTTGGGCAGAGTGAAAGCTTTTCAAAAATATTAACAAAACAAATTACTTTAAAACATGTATCCAAGAGGGAACATCAATGGTGATCCAGTTCTGAACCCTAACTCCGTACGTCACATAATTTGGCATTTCCTGCTCTGCTTCATCTTCCACAATGACATTAATCCCGGAGATAGTTGGATGAAGATAACCCCCGCTACGGAAGATGTCTTGATACTTGCCTGCAGCAGACTTCGGCTTCATGCTCTTACTTTTGTCATTCTTCAAAGAGAACCCCAAGCCAGCTCTGTTCTTGTTTACAGGTGGATCTACAATCTGTCCCTAAACCTCACTATGATCCTTACGCACAACTTGTTGCGCATACTTAAGCGAAACCATAGAATTCTCATTTCCTCTTATATTGTCAATGGATAAGGCTTGGAACTGGGTTCCAACAGCAGCTTCATCCGCCTCCACAATGCTGAAAGAGGACAAATGAGATATCAATAATGCTTGTTCTCCATTTATGATTACCACTTTTCCTCCACGTACAAACTTTAGCTTCTGGTGTAAAGTTGAAGTGACAGCCCCTGCCTCATGTATCCACGGCCTTTCTAGCAAACAGCTATAAGTGGGTACAATATCCATGACCTGGAAAGTAATCTAAAACAAATGTGGGCCTATATGAATAGGCAAGTCCACTTCACCAATAATAGATTTCCTTGATCCATCAAACACTTTCACAATAATGACAGTTGGGCGCATGGGTGTTCACTGATATTTCAATTTCATAAGCGTGCTCCTCGGTATAACGTTCAAAGCGGATCCATTATCAATCAGCACATTGGATAGTGAATCATTCTTGCAATTCATAGAGATATGGAGGGCCAGGTTGTGATTTCTTCCTTCATCTGGAAATTCGTCATCGCAGAAACTCAGGTTATTACATGATGTAATGTTACCTACTACACTGCTGAATTGGTCTATAGGCATGTCACTTTCCACAAAAGCTTGATCCAGTACCCTCATCAGAGATTCTCTGTGAGCACAGGAGTTCATCAATAAAGCCAAGATAGATATTTTCAAAGGAGTATACAGTAGCTGATTTACAATTTTGTAGTCGCTCATCTTAATCATCTTTAAAATATCATCCACTTCTTTCTCTAACGTGGCTCCACTAGTTTCACCCATAGCCTTCTTGGGTTCAGCATTCTCATCAATTTTCTTTCCAACGCTAACATCTCCACGAACAACTAGTGCAAATACACGACCGCTACGGGTCACTCTCCTAGTCTCAGCAATATTTCCAAAATCAGGCATTGGCTGGATGGGAACTTCCACACCATCCTCTAAGATTGTAGCGTTATATTTGTAGGGTACAACCTTATCTGACTTGTAGGGTACAGGACCCGGCAAACTAATCACCAATGGACTAATAGTCGGCTTGCTATGGTACTCAACTTCAAAATAGGCGGGTGCGCCAAAATAAGGCACAATGACGTTTGCTCCCTCTTCAATATAATCAGTCATTATTGAGTCATCTCTGGAAAACAAATCCTCATCTGAGGAGAAATACTCATCTGCAGAGGCATACTCATCATCCGACTCTTCTTCAGCCAAACAAACCTCAATCATATCAACTTCATGGTAATCATCCCTTTGACTGGTAACCTTGATAGTTCAATTATCCAACAACAACTGAACACCTTTCTTCACAATTGAACATCCTCGGGAGTCTCGACAGCAAATTTGGTAAGATCCATACTGATGTTCCACCTGACCAGCCAAGTGGCAGAAAGTAGCATGCAATTGCACAAGGTCTTCATTTATATACTCTACATAAAAATTTTGAACTCCCCAGGACATCCAGAAACCATATTCACCTCCTCTTCATACTCTGTCCTAGGCCGATTATGTGGATGAGGCCCTCATCCATCATCTGCAAATCAGCCTTTATCTTGTCGCAACCTTGTATGTCTGTACTGCAAATAGCACAACCGGAATGGTCACGCGTATAGTAGCTAAATTCACATAGGTCTGCATGTATTTTCACCAAATCTCCTCTAACCAGATTAATATCAAAAATCCGGAAGTCGCCTGGACAATCGGCCACCATATCCACAATCTTTTCTCCTTCATGCTTGGATAGAGGATTGTCTTTCACATTAGGGCCCACATCCTTGAAAGATAAGATACCGGACTTCACCAATTTCTGCACCTCAGTCTTCAAAGAATAGCAATTCTCAACATTATGCCTTGGTGCTTGAAACAACCGGCTGAAAATCATAAAACAATGAAGTCGCCATCGAACATCTTTTATCCCACATGTAGGGAAAGGTAAACATTGAGAAAACCTGAGAAGGGAGAAGTCACGGTCTTGCGACCGAGAGATCAGGTAAGGGAGACTGTTACGTGAGGGGAAGGTATTAACACCCCACACTCCTGTAGTACTCTACGGTATCCACTCTTGTTGTCTATCTTATGGGTGTGTTCAATCTATGCTTACTGTTTACTATACTACTGAAGGGAGAATGCATGCAAAAGAAAAGGGAAAAGAATGTAGCGAAAATAAAATTGTGCTTGCTTGGGCCCTACCCTAATGCCTACGTATCTGTTTTGAGGAATCATAGCTACCGTAGTTCAGCTCATATGTTTTTGTTTGTTTATGTTTTTTATGGACAATGTTAATTCCTCCTTCTACCACAGCTCGACCTTTGGAGACTTATGCGTTGGCACATAAGTAAATTAATCATGTCCTTACCTGAAAAGGGTTTTTAGAGAAAAGGTGCTCGAGCGCACAAAATGGTTTGAATTGGTTTGTATTTTTTGTTGCAGATGATGACTAGTTAACCTCAAGAGAGAGATATTAGCCACTTTTCTACTTAGCCATGAAAGGAGTCTTTGAGAATTGAACCACACCTAGGCTTAAGATGAAGAACAATAAGGTCGAGAAGATACCCGCTTATCATTTCCTATACTAAGCAAAGGCATGATTCTCATCAGTAGCTTTAAAGTGTTTTGAAGTCTGAAAAGGAAAAAAAAGAAGTTTTTGTTTTAAATGCATATGCAAAAAGGGAAAGAAAAGTCAAAGGGAGACTAGCCTATTTCTAAACCTAATGTTATCATACAATGGTAGCCCTAAGTCAAGGATGAATGAAAGGGAAACGTCTACCTAATGTTAGCATGCATATGGTTTGCGGTAAAGCCCTACTTCTCATGATTTCTAGAAAAGAGGTAAAATGCAGAAATGAAGAATAAAATAAAGTTGCGATGATACCGAACGGAGAAGGTCTGTTGCCTCTTCATAACCACGCAAGCAATAAGAAAACTCTACCAAAAGCTTCCTCGAATTCCTTGAGGAGGATCACACACTTAATTCACTTCGAAAATCCTTACAAATTTCCAAAAAATGTATCATAAAATCATGTCAATAGGTATTACGGCTCAAGCACCATCATCATGTGAAAATTACATCAAGATATGTCAAACAAAGATGGCAAAATTTAGCATAATAATTTATCGTTAAAGAAATCTAACTAAATTTCTAAAGAAAAATCCAAAGGTGAATTAGCATATCTCTTCTATTCTATCATGGCATTCCTATCACAATAATAAAAATTGAATGAAAACTATTGAAAAGAAATCAAAGCCACCATCATAGGGGTGCAAGCTTAAGACTGGTGCGTAACTAGCAAGCCCAGGTAGATGGCCCAGACTAGAGTCCATGATCTAGCATTTTATTTTAATGCTTAGTTTCAACAAAAATAGGCCTAATTCCATTCAGTTTCAGTCCATGAGCCCTATAGTCTCAATCCAAATCTTATCTATATTATATTCAGCATTATCTATCTAATAAGCAACATTAGCAAGAATTAACAGATAAGCCTGGACAAATTAATGAAGCAAGAGAGTGAGAACGGTGAACATTTTTTGGTATTTAGGGTTAACATAGCGATTCTTAAAATCCAATGGCTCGAGTCTCCTCCAATCTCAAACCAAATCGGCACCGAACATCTCCGATTCACCAACTCTTCTCATCGCCGACCTCCGTCTTGCTATCTCCATCCTACATATGCCGATTCAGCTTATCCTCTTCTTCACGAAGGCGTCGAGCGTAGCACCAACGTCTCCTCTGATCGGACACTCGCTGTTGTAGCTCTGTCTTCAGATTTCTTTCGACTTCGGTCTTGATACCTCCCTTATTTCGCTGCAACTTCAACTTCAAAAGCTCAACCTTCGCTATTCCTCTGCCTTATTATTCCCCTATTGAAGAGCTCCGACAATGGGATACGGGTTCTGAGCGTCTCCGGTTACTCCTCACAGTGAAGAATACCCAAGAAATTCGTTCGAATCTTATCGCTAAATCCAGGTAAACTGCTTCCTCTCTCGAATCACTAATTGGAACTTTTCTTCTTCCTCTTTCTTGTTCCTTCTTCATTTCTAATTTTCTTGCGCTTTCTTATGTTTCCATGATAGCCTTGTTGTTGTGTTGTATTAATCTCTTATGAATCATTGTGGTTGTGTTGTATTAATCTCTTATGAATCATTGTGGTTGTGTGAAGTTGTTGCAGATTCATCGAAGCTTGTGAAGCATAAGTGTTGTTGTCGCAGAGAATTCACGCAGTTGAAGGTTGAAGGCGCTTGAAGTGGTTGTTCTTGATATTAAGAAGTGAAGGATGATGATGTTGATGAAGATCAATAAGAATTCCGAGTTTGTTTCTGTGAGATTTGGTTATTCTTCACAATGGTTGAAGAATGATGAAGATTGATGAAGCTTTTATAGAGGAATTCATAGAATTGAAACCATGAGAAGTGAAGTTGCAGAGAGGGAAGGTGGATGAAGGCGAGGATGAATTGGAAGGGAGAATAAGAAGGGTGAGGATGAAGATGAAGTGCAGAAGAAATTTTCTCAGAATAACTTAGAGGTTTATTTCTGATTCAAAGATATTTCTGTGTGAATTTCTTGAATATGAGTTTTTTGTACTATGAATGAATGTCTCCTATCCATCCCCCCTCTGAATCTATTATCATTTTCTTTTATAGATCTCCATAAGTTTGTTACAGATTGAATCAATCCAGGCCCTTGGATAGAAAGTTGGTTAGGACTGTTAGAGATTGGTTAGGAATCGTTCTAAATTAGTTAGAAGTTCTGAGATTCTGTTTTTTTTCAGTTAGAGGTTAGTTTGGGTTCTGTTGACAGTTAGGTATGTTATAGAAAAGCTGTTAGAAAATCTGGTTTTCTATTTTTTTGAGTTGACTGGGGTTGTTGGAATCTGTTATAAGGCCGCTTGGAATGGGCTGGAATCTGTTTTTTTGTTACTTGTTGGCTGCATATTCCCTGGTAATTTGGTTTTGATGATTATGTTGGTTTTCAGTTAGAAGGAAGATTAGTGAGCTGGGTTCTGTTATGAATTAGTAAAAACTGTTATGAATTATTTTATTCATTACTGAGCTACTGATTGATTAATTGCAGGGCATGGTTGGTTTCAAGTTTCGAAGCAAGTTCATTGTTTGGCATAACTTGGTCTTGGATGCAGGACAAGACTTGGGGTGGAGAGAAAGAACAACTCGAGACGGATTTATGGAGATCTTCTCAAGCCAAGCAAAAGTGAATGAAGGCATATAAAATCTGAGATAGCAGTCTGAATGCAGATCTAGGTCCTTATGTTTTGCACGAACCAAGTTGTAATAAAATTTTGTACCATAGTATGTGATGGATGTTTATTGAAACTTGAAATTTCCTTTTCTAACTTGGCATAATGTTTTTGGTGCCATGAAATGATCTTATACTTGATAATATAATGGCAACTTCCAAATATTCAAAGTGGATTTCCCTTTCGTTAATTTCTTTCTTTGCTTTTGTAATTATGTTGACAAAATGATGATGAATTTGTGATGTAATGAGAATCTTTGAGTTCCAATGACAAAATCCAAATACTTCAAGTAGCTTTCTCCCCCATCTCTAATTTTGTATTCGCTTCTGGATGAGTCACAGACATTGATCCATCAAGGTCTTGAATAACCAAACTTCCTTTGACATTTATGAATGGATCACCAAGCTTTAAAAAAAACCTCAAATGATTGAATGAACTTTGAACTTGATTTCCAAGTAAATTCCTCTTTCATTTTAATAACAATATGAACTTTAACCGAGTTTGAATTGTCTTAAATTCCATGAAAACCCCTAATTCAACTCTTCCATCCATGTTAACTTATATCTCAAGCAACACGCTAGTGTCTCAATCACCACTTCATCTTTTGTAGCATGAATCAAAACCTCAGAAACTCTATCTTCAAATGTTTGATTTGAAAGAATTCTTTTTTTACTTTATGATTTTAACATAAAACATTACTCTTTGGAGAATCCTTGGGTGAAGATGAATGAGATTTGAATCATAGAGGAAAACCCTTGGGATAACCCCGTCCATGATCTTTACAATGATGAATGCTAACAAGCTCAAACCATGTATGAGAAATCCTAGTCTTTTCGAGATACCCTTGAATCTCTTGATGAAAATGGGATCCTTGTAGCTTGATGAAAGAAGAAATTCACGACAATGCTTAAACAAGCAACCCTAGCTTTTGGCCAATGATTGATGGAGGAACCCGTAGAAACAAGCTTGAATGAAGGTGAAAGTCCCAAAGTAAAAAATCCTAGCTTCAAGATCCCCGATCCTATGCCCATTTGATTGATTAATGATGCATGATGTTTTTAAATGGCCTAATGGAAGGTTATGTACATGTGAAAAGTGTGAAACGCATAAGCCAGATAAAAGTAAAAGGGGTAGGACAAATTTGGGGTATTACATTGCTCCCTGATGAAAAGCACATGTTTGGTCTGCCTTGTAATACAAAGGAAATGGTGATGGTACAACGGGGGATGGTCGGATCTGAACCAACTTCTTCTAAATCAATTCCGGTAGTAACTCTATATAACTTATAGGAATAGGGTCATAACTCTCCCTTCTCTGATTATACCCTTGATTTCTCTGCTGGGATGGTCTCTGATAAGCAACGGTGGTTGGAGTTACACCAACATCTGGAGTAACTGAGGCGACTTGCTGATGACGCTGATAATTTCTTCTAGGAGGATTGACCCTCCTCTCTTGCATATCAAAATTTGTATCTCCTTCATTCTTCTTGGTAAACCCATAGGATGGCTTCTTCGCACCTCCAGATCCTTCACTCTTAGTTAAACGGCCCTCTCTTACAGCCTCTTCTAAACAGATACCCATGCCTACCATTTCAGTAAAGTCACTTGGTGCACTTTCTACCATCCTTTCATAGTAGAAAACACCCGGAGTTTTCAAGAAAATCTTAGTCATCTCCTTCTCTTCCATGGGAGGAAACACTTGGGAGGCTACCTCACGCCATCTCTATGTATATTCTTTAAATGATTCCTTGTCTTTCTGAACCATGGCCCTGAGTTAATCACAGTCAGGCGCCATGTCCATGTTGTATTTGTATTATCTGATAAATGCTTCTCCCAAGTCATTGAAAGTATGGATATTGACGTTGTCCAAACTCATATACCACTTCAGTGCAGCACCGGTCAAACTATCCTGAAAAAAGTGAATCAGCAGACGCTGATCATCAGTATGGGTAGACATTCTCCTTATATACATTACCATATGAGCACGAGGGAAAGTGTTTCCCTTATACTTTTCAAACTCTGAGACCTTAAACGTTGCATGTATTTTAACATTCAGGACCAAGCATAATTCATTCACATTCAGCCCGAATAACTTTTTTCCCCTAAGGGCCTTCATCTCCCTCTGCATTTTGTCAAACTGCTCTTGAAAATCATCCATTTTGTCATAGAGACCCAAGTATTCACTTGGTGGAGGAAAAGGACGACACACATCATCATTAACAATTGGAACCATATTCACCAAAGGAGGTGCAGGAGTAACAATAGTCTGAACAACTGGAGCTTCTTGAGGACCAAGATTTAAACCTTCGGGTGCAAAATTCTCTGGCATTCCCCATGGATAACCTTGAGGCATGCGATTCTAAACAACAGCTGGGGTAGCAGATACATGAATAGTCAGAGCTTCAGTAGTAGCCCTTGTTGGTTGAGGTTGAACACTCGGTGGCTGATTCTGAGCAGCCACCAGAGATTCCATCAGAGCAGTAAGATTGTCCATGTCGGCCTTCAAAGCAAAAACCTCCTTGCGCAGCTCGCGATTCTCTAATTCTAAGTTGTCCATCTTCCTTCTAAAATTAGCCCGAGTGTTGTAGTGGTGAGTCAGCTTGCTGAACAAAGTAAAAAAGCTTGGTAAGACACCTGGATATGCATAACAAATGCAAGAAATTTGTGTGATATGATGCATGATATGCAATGAACATGATTTATTTTATTATTTAATATTTTAAGGGATTTAAATATTTATAGACACGTTGCAAATATCAAAGTAATAACGCATTTGAAGTACTAAATTTTTTTTATTATAATAACTTCAAAATAGGTTACAAGTCTCAACAATCCCAAGTACAAGATGAAAATAAAGTCTAAAATCCTGAGAAGTAAAGCTGTCGGAGATCACTATATATGATGGCGCTTCCTTGTAAGCCTGGAAATCTGAGCCTTCAACCTTTGGTTTTCTTCCGTATACCTGGTGGCAACCTCCTTCCAATCACCTGAATCAGGAAGTGAGTAATCAGCATCTGATCGAGGCTTAGGATAAAATAAATCACATTGCCTCTCCATAGTCTCTACCGCTCGACTCTCAAGGATCTCAATCAAGTCGTCTTTCTCCTTCATGTCTGCTATATAGGAAATCTCTAAAGTTCGACACTTATTCTTCCAAGCATCCTTTTCCTGTTGCATCCTGACCAAAGTAAGTTGTAGCTCTTCTAAATCATCCAATAAGGGAGGAGTGGTTTTCACAAATAAATCAGGCATAGGTGTTTCCCGGGAATACGGCATCTTCAACTGAATAGCTCTCGCTTGAACCCACCGAAGATATGGCTCCAAAGAAACAACCCCCCTAGGTCCCAAGTCTTTCCTACTCTTCTTATGAATGTGACGCCAGACCTTCGCAATATGTTCCCTAGCTTCCTTATGGTCTCCTCACTCCTTTAGAAATAAACTACTTAAATGAATACTATTTGGTTTATCCCTCATCAGATAACCGAGTTGTCGTCGTGCAAGAACAGGGTTATAGTTAATTCCTTCCTTTGTACCAAGA